TCAGGGGGCAGCAGGGCAGGCCCTACGAGGAGAGGCTACGGGACCTGAACCTGTTCAGCCTCCACAAGAGAAGGCTGAGGGGGGATCTAGTGGCCTGTTACAAACTAGTCAGAGGGGACCAGCAGGCATTGGGGGAGTCCCTGTTCCCCTGAGCACTGCCAGGAGTGACTAGGAATAACGGTCACAAGCTGGCAGAGGGCAGATTTAGGCTAGATATCAGGAGGCGCTACTTCACTGTCAGGGCGGCTAGGGTCTGGAACCGACTTCCAAGAGAAGTGGTGCTGGCTCCTACCCTGGGGGCCTTTAAGAGAAGGCTAGATGAACACCTTGCTGGGGTTGTTTGACCCCAGTACTCTTTTCTGCCATGTCAGGGGGTCGGACTTGATGATCTGCTCGGGCCCCTTCCAACCCTACTAACTATGAAACTGGGTAGCAGCAGCAGCTAGGGAGCTGAGCCTGCTTGTTCTGTTCCTGCAGGGTCAGGTGCAGATCTTTCACTTGTGTCCATATCTGGCAGAAATTGTTCTTAGCATATTTCTTACATATACTGTGTATTAGAATTTTCAGCAGCTGTTTTGGGCATTGTGCGATTCTTTTGTGGAAGAAAATATGGTAGCTTAAGATGGCTGATATGGTCATTGATTTGACTTTTTTGGATATCTTACTATCTTAATATTGCATATTGTACATTTCAGCATCTGCAGACAAAGCCAACCAGAAGCACATCCTTCCAGTCTTAATACTAGTGTTAAAATGCCAAAAGAAGATCCAGCTGCCTTTCACACAGAGGTTCTGTCTAAAGAACAAACTAAAAATCTTAATGATCAGAATGGTATCCATACCACTTTGACGAACCCAGAATCTCCATCTTTGACCGACTCTCACAATGGCAAACCAAGTGACTTGAAAAGCAAATGTGAACCCTTTGTCAATCTGATGACAAATGCCCCAAAGGAGTGTGTTTCTGTAAAACCAACACAGCATCTTAATAGCTCTTCCAGGTCAACGTCAAGGACCAGTGGAACTTCTGAACTTCAGAAATTTTTTGATTGTAATCCCTCAACATCAGATGCCCATTCTGTCCCTTTTACTGAGCCTGGAGTTAAATTGCAAAACAGTTGCAAGGCAACCAAGGCAGAAAATTCTTCATCTGTATGTTCCGCAATTAAAGGAAACTGTAACGAATTTCTGTACGAGAGAAATGAAAATGAAGGGATTTCGAATGGAATCACCAGTAAAGTCCAGGATAATAGTAAGTATATCTAAGCTTAGGTATCAGCATAGATGTCTAATATTTAAAATTAGGCCTATCAGAAAAATGTGCTTTCTGGATAATGAATTACATGACAGCAATTTTTGTTTGACTTCTTGACTAAATGCCTGTTTCATTTTTGGAAGAGAAGATCAAATAATAAGATTAGGGTTCCCAAAAATTATTTTAAATAACACAATCTAGAAATTGAGTAAAGCTGTATCTGCATGTCTGTAGGAAAAAAGCTTGTCACCAGACTTGTATTCATAACTGGAACACAATTCTTTTTATATGCATAAGAAATAAGATTGGGAAGAAGGGTTGCAAAAGTTAAAATAGGCAAAACTAGGTCTTAGATCCTCCATAACACAGTGGGAACCAAGTTCTGCAGCAATACTACTAAATTCTGTGGAAACAAGTTCTAGGCTGCTCTGCAGCAAAGTGCTGAATTGTAGTATCTGAAGGGGTGTGTGTGTGTGCTGGTGGCAAGGAGAGGGAGGGCAGTAACAAAAATAGGCTGGCTCATATTGCTAAGAGGCATTTTCAGACTGAAATTAGCAGGTTGTGCTTTAATTAACCCTTTATGCAGTTAAGTACACTTTAAAAAAAAAAAAAAAGTCTGACATCCTGGGGCTTAGTTATTCAGGAAGGGGTAAATCGTATAGCTGTAGAAAAAGTGAGGTTCTGACGCTGCCAATAACTCTTCTAAAGACGCTTACGCTCTTTGATCAACTCTTGGACTCGATCATCCGTTGAGGTCCCTTTCAACCCTAGCTTCTATGAATTTATGAAACTCGGTGTAAAATTTTTGATGATTTTTCAACTCAAGTAGAGAATTTAGCAGAAATGTATAAGGCAGGCAAGCATGTGAACGCATTTTTTTTTTTAGTCATTCGGATTCACAATCTGCGCCTGCTTTTCCTGCAGTAATTGTTCGCAAGTCAATTTTGGCAGATGCTAGTAAAGTTAAGAAGCTGCAACAAAGTGGGGAAGCGTTTTTACAGGATGGGTCCTGCAATAACATTGCACCTCACTTGCATAAGTGCCGGGAATGTCGCCTGGACAGCTACCGGAAAAACAAAGAGCAAAGGGACTCCACTGTCTTCTGCAGATTCTTTCACTTCAGGAGGTGAGTTGAATTTTTATGTATATGTATGATGATGTTCTGCAAATGGTTTTTATGAGACTAGGGCTGATCTTGCAGGGTTGTAGGTTGTAGCTGTGTTGGTCTAAGGACATAGGCAGGCAAGGTTCTTTGGGTAGGTGTGATATCTTTTATTAGACCAACTAAATAGTTGGCAAAAGTTCTTTGTAAGCCTTCAGGCACAAACACCTTTTGTCAGGAGATCTCGGGGAAACCTTGGGATGGAGAATTCTCCCACTGTTACAAAGTATTGACTCTTTCTGGATGTGTAGTGGCAGAAATAGCCCTGACAGCTACAGGGGAGGGGCAACAGAAAGAGGAAGCAAGGGAGACGGGCAACATAACAGCAAAGGACTGTAAGAGCAATATTTTTTTAACTTGTGGTTTTATGTCTGAATGGCAGCTTTTTAATATGTTGCAACATTACCTGTCTAATGTGAGACCGTGGTAAAAAAATCAAACCATGCTTGCTTGTTTTGCCAATAATATCAGTTGTTTTAGAAGTCTTGTCAAGTAGACCTTTAAAAAAGAGGTCTTGTGCAGTCTTTCTGCACACATGGAAAAGTATTGTGGTGCTATGGAAAAGTGTGTTTCATAGGTAAAGCTTTTTTGGCAAGGGACTTGAGGGCAAGGATTTCCTCCATTGTACAAAATCTGCATTGGAAATTGTCACTTCACTTCAGAAGCAGCTATCTTGAACTGTTTCATATATGGGGCATATAAATTGTTTCAAAATAAGCAGTCTAATTTTCTTTTTTGTTGGTAGTTTTAACAGCATTTATTCTGAACTTCCTACAGGAAAATCTGAATAAAATATAAGTTGGAAAGTAAGGGTTAATTGTTTCTATTGGGCTTCTTTCAATGCAAGTTGTGATTACATTTCATTAGTTTAGGAATATTCTATTTTGTTTAGGTTAGATTTGAGTTAACAGTGCACAAATTCTGGCATTTAGTACAATGAACAGTCTCTTTTTCCTACAGCCTTAAAGGGTCATATTTTTGCAAACCTACTTGAGACCTGTTGCTTTTTATTCTTAAGATCCAAGCAAAAACTAATGTTCTGTATTTCTTTCCAAACTAGCAGGTTTAATTACACTAAACTGTTATAGCAGTGAGCAGTTGATACTGATTAATAGTAATCATTGAACTGCTTAGCATTGTTGGTTGATATGAACACACAAATTAACATGCTGATCAAAATGAATGGAAATGAACTAACAGAGCATGTGATTGTCTTCCCCTTCTCCAGGCTTCAGTTTAATAAACATGGTTTGTTACGTGAAGCAGGCTTCTTAACTCCCAACAAATATGACCCTGAGGCTATTGGCTTGTGGATGCCATTGGCAAAAAACGTTATGGGTCTAGATCTGGACACTGCAAAGTATGTTTTAGCCAACATTGGAGACCACTTCTGCCAGCTGGTGATATCTGAAAAGGAGTTCATGTCTACTATAGAACCACACAGTAAGAATAACTCTTTTGTAAAACAAAATAAAGGACTTCTAAAATAAATCTTTCCATCCTTCATGGAAAGGGATTGTGTGACTGGTATTGCTAGTAAGACTTAATACTTACTTTAATTCTCAGTGGAGGGAAGTAGTACTACTAGCCTTATGGATGCAACTATACAGTATTTATGAACCCTAATCATCATTCAGGCGTTCTAAATTCCCTTTGCTGAAAAGAAACAAAATGGTTCCTGCACTCTTACTCTGAATTGGTCTGACAACCCCTCCTGTTCCAGAGAGAGGCTTGAAGTGCAGAAGGTAAAAGGTGCTTTCCATGCTTTATATTTATCTGTTGCCTGTGTATTATCAGTCAGGCTTTCCAACTTAGTGATGAATAGCCATGCTCGACCTGCACGGCTGAATGGAGTGGTGTCCTTTTCTTGTGCATCAAGTCTGAATCTTGCTTTTTGAGTTCCATGCTGGCTACTTGACCTCAGCGGGGCAGGATCAAGTCCCCATAAAATAGTTTAAGTTTCAGTCGGGTTCACTGGCGTGACCTCCTGGGGGGTGTAGCAATGAAAAGAGAGTTTAAGTGATAACCTAGCCTGGAAATGTTTTTATTGCACCATCGGCATGCTTTTCAGTTTGAAAAAAGCAAAAACAAGGGGCTCCATTAGTTTCTACACAGTAGCTCTTCAGGGTAGAATTGCAGTTAAACTGCGTGTGTGCGCGGGGCAGTTCTTCCCCCTGTAGCTATCTTTGTGTAGTGAGAGGTATAGGAGAATGGTTGCCTGGCTTCTCTTGTATGTTTTATATATGGATGTCATCACCATATATGTGGTACTCTTAACAGCCATGCTTGTCCTCTGTCTACTAATCGGCCTCTCTAGGATTTATAGTTGTGTTCTAAAACTAGCATGGATTTGGACTTAAGGTGTGTTTTCAGTTTCTGAAGCAGGTCCTGTTTAGACTCTTTGAGGGTCTTATCTAAGCTCTTTAGGATCACGGCGTTATCCTGCACCTTTTGCAATCGATGAGACTTCTGGTATCAATTCCAGCAGTAACTACAGAAACATGACCTTCCAGGTTGAGAGACAGGAACCAAACTTTGTATTGATTCTTAAGTCTGTTGGCAATGGTTTAAAACTCCCCAGTTTGAGGTGCATGCAGAATGTGATGAAATGATGCGATTGAAAGTTGTCGTCTTTCTTTTGGAACTAGCTTCACAAATCACTTGTTTTGCTAAAAATTTATTACGCGTGTTGAAAACTCAAGCTGTTTTAAACCCAGTTGTGGGCTTATGAATTCTTCCTCAGGGATGTGAGAGAGTTTTGACAAGTGCCAATCCTTCCTATCCTGGACCTTTCTTTTTCAGGTCACTTATGTACAAGTATAATAATGCCATGGCAGCCATTTCTGTGCTCAGTCTCTTGTCATGAGATTTGCCATGCATAAGCATAGGTGACATTTACTTTCTTGCTCAAAGAGAGGAGTAGCTTAAAGGTATATTATGCCAAGTATCTGCAATGATCAGCAATTTTTGCAAATCACCTGCTTCAAGGTTGCATTGTGGGGGGGGGGAGTGTGTGTATGTTGTTGTTTTTCTTTAAATACCACTGACTTAATGGAATTAAATAAAAAGTGGGGAGGGAATCCTTTTAATTATTTGGTAGAGGCTGAGAGAAACTGCTTTGGATCCAGTGGCTTCCTAGTCTGACTTTGATTATAAAAAGAGACTTGGTGTTGAAACACTGAGTTAAAAGTTTTGTCTTACAGGAATTGGGCCTGCATGTTAAGAATCTTGAATTTATTCTCACATCCTAAAAATTGCAAGTGATTCAATTGGAATTCAGGCGTGACTAAAGCAAGGGGTACAACTTCATAACTAGGTACCCCGATACCTTCATAATACAGAGGTAGCCAGCAGCTAATACAGGGTGGCACAGAAGGATGGACAGAGATAGCTAGACACAGATAGGAAATTGAGACCGTGGATCCATTGATTGTCACTTGATATGACAGTGCTAGCTTGTGTTGCACTACTGAAATCAAGCATGGTCACAGTAACTAAACTATAGACAACTATTCCATTGTGTCTAACATACTAACTTATATTTTTACTATCACTTACCTCAGAGCAGGTAGCCTGGAAGCGTGCTGTCCGTGGGGTTCGAGAAATGTGTGATGTCTGTGACACAACAATATTCAACCTTCACTGGGTTTGTCCCAAGTGTGGTTTTGTAGTATGCGTGGATTGTTATCGGATGAAAAAGAAAAGCTTACATCAAGGTAACATTATTCTCTTTAAAGAAAACTTGTGTTTTGAACAGTTAAGTTTAATGGAAGAAGGAACTTAATGGAAATCATTTCATAAATGTGTAATCTGTATTTTACTGAAAGAAGAAATGGGGGTGTTGGTTTGGGGTAGGTGTGTGTGTGTGTTTGGACTTTTTCTTATTAAACAGTCAATCAACAAGTTAATTTGCTTTCAGATGGTGTATCTGAGACATTCAACTGGTTTAAATGTGTGAAGGGTCAGTTGCATGAACCGGAGAGTCTAATGCCTACACAGATAATTCCTGGAAAAGGTATTGTAATTATTTATGGAAGTGTGTGCAAGAATACTAAGCTTTCTGTTTGCAAATTATAGGGCCTGATTCAATGCCTGGGCAGTCAGACTTCATGAGCATTGAGTTTGGTCTTTAATAGATACTTGAATAATGTAGTGATTTGAGTAATACAGGCTGGTAAATGGTCAAAAACCATGTTTGCAGTCTGGCTGTACAATTTTTGTCTTGCATTTTATGCAGATAACTCCAGTTGTCATGTTAGTGTTTCTTTGGTAGTTTAAATAGAAGTTGTAAAACTAGAGCTATGCAGATAAATCTGTTCTGCAGATGCTTGTTTCTTCTTTATCTTTGAATTGTGGCATATGCAATATTGCTGAATTCTTGATATCATTTACACTTGCTTTAGCTATGAGTTCATTAATGATTTCTCATTTTAGCTCTCTATGATGTTGGTGACATTGTTCACTCTGTAAGAACAAAATGGGGAATAAAAGCAAATTGTCCTTGTGCAAATAAACAGTTCAAGGCACTATCAAAGCCGACCTTAAAGGAGGATGCAAAACAGGTACTGCTTCTGACTTTTTACAATTTTTTTTCCACTGTCTTCTGTAAAATATGGGCAAGACTGCAAAAGTGCTGTGTATTGGTCTAATGCTGTCCCCATTGAAGACAGTGGTTGATTTCTGTGTGGAGTGGAGTTAAGGCCAATAATGACCACTTCTGAAAATCCTTCTTGGCAATTTTGGCTTATGCATGTTTACTTTTTCTAGTTCAGCTTCCCTCCGTGTATGGACAGATGTATTTGGAACATTCTCAGTGTTGCACTAAACCCCAAGAGTCTAGACATGCATGCTACTTCAGACCAGTTTACCTTTCCTGGAATGTTTCAAAATCACACCAGGAAAATCTGATACTGTTTTGAGCCAGTCCTTGAACCAGTTCTGTTATGTCCAGACATAGAACATTACATACCTAATGTCTGGCCAATCATCCAGGTATCCCAAACTGCACTGTTTCTCACTGCCCCCCTGTCCCCCCATTCTGAAACCGATGCAGGACTGCTTTGGGATGCAGCTAGGACTCTGTTGCCCAAAGATCTGTTGCCCACAGAGACCACAGTCTGTAGGGGTGGGGAAGCAGAAAGCATCCGTGGCACTTTCACTGCCCTGTTGTGGGGGGTGGGTCCCAGGCTTATTTGGAAGGGGGGTGTAGCCAGGGGGAGGGGAGCTTTGTGGCCCCCTACTTGTGCTGGGTGGATGATTGTGCCTGTTAACATCTGTGGGGGGCTTGAACAAAGCTATTGTATAATGCACACTTCATAGAAGAGAATAAGCATGGAATTGGCAGCCAGGGTGAAGTGGAATAGCCTGTTAGGCTGCTTGCGGATATCTAAAAAAAACCCCAAACAAACCCCGAGCTTTACTGAAAGAAGCCGCATGTTACTTTGACCCAGCTCTGCAGTGTCTGTATAGATCAGGCGCTTCAGCAGGGCTTTTATGTAAAGCTGAGTCAATTGCCTATTAGATAAAAGTGCCAGAAAAGTCCCACTAAAGTGCCTGATTTATACAGACGTTGGGTGAGCTGGCCATCTAATACACTGCCTCTTCTGGGTATGCTCTGGGCTTGCTGCAGAAGTGCATCAAGTTTAAAATGCTAGTTTTTAATGTCTGCAAGCAACTTTTAATTGTTCCTTGCCTGCTGTGCTGCACTCTTGCAGCCAGCCCTGCCCTGCAGGTTGTACCCTGCATGCACATATCTCTGTGGCATTGCAAGGTACTTGAACAGCTTTCCAATGAGTCTTTTCTAAGCCTCAGGTTGAGGTGGAGACTGGGTAGTCCCAAAGTACCCAGTTCCACCCTCCCCATCCCCAAATGAAACTGCATGTGTTGTTGTCCTCCCCCACTTCCCCCAGACCTGGTCAGCCCATCGGTGACATTTTTGGAATGGTTCAAGTTACCTTTATCTGTATCCTCATTAATGACAGAAGACTGGCATGCAAAAAGGAATAAATGGTTCAGAATTCTTGAAAGCAGAATTCATGTGAAATTCCTAGAAAATAAAAACAAAAACAAAACTGTTTGCCTTGAGGATTCTAAAAATTGAGAAAAGAATAATATAAGGCAGTGTAGCTAATTTTAGTCTTAATGGCCACGACAGGAAAAATTGGCTGGTGGTGGTAGAGTGCATTTTGTTTACAGTAACCAGACTAAACTTTTAGTGAACATGAATGCTGTTTCTTTAACAAAAAGTAAATATAGCATTCATTTATGAATGACCAAAATCTGCAAACAAGTACCTTTTTTGGAATTCATAGTAGTCTAAAATAGTTGCTAAAAAAGATTAAAGGCAATAGATTGATCTTTAGTAGAAATCCGGTGTTTCATAAAAGCTGAAGTATGGGTGTTCTGGGGGTTTTGTGAACTGAATTGGGAAGTGTGGGGGTGTTTGTATTTTTTCCTTGCAAAAGAATTGGGAGCTGTAATTGTGCTTCTGTGTGTGGGTTCCTCCCCCTTCCTTCCTAAAGGAGGATGTCTCTTTTAATATAAGTCTTCACTTTTGTTTTGCAGAATTTAGTACCTGGAGAAAAATCCACCCATCTGCACAATTTTGTCTTAGGCCCACTCGGTACTAGCTGTGATTCTCCTATAAAACCAATGGTTGGAAGTAAACTAGTTTCTTCAGTTAATACTTCTTCCTTAAATTGGCTGACTGGCTTAACAAGTGGAAATGTGAATAAAGAAAACAAAGGTAAAGTTGTGGGGAAAAAAAAAAAGCCTTCCATTACTATCGGTAGTTAATGATCTAGTTAGTCCCATCAGCAGGGTTTACTAAAGCTGTCCCTACTTACTGGGGTAAGGGTTTCACAAGACCGGCCCTAACTAACAACTCATTGTCTTGTGGAGGTGTCCTTATTGCTTAGGCATATCTTGACAATTTTACTCAAGTCAGTTTTTGGAAATGTGATTTAGACTTCTACATCTTCTGGGCATTTTCAAAAACATTTTTTTTCTTGCACACTTCAGAAAACTATATGCTGTAAGCTACAGCTGTCCAGGAGGGGGAATCTAATTAAGTTTCTTTAAAACTTACTTAATTGGGCACAGTACATGAATTGCAGTTTTGAGGAAGAGAATAGCTTTTCCTTCCTTATCCCTCCTTCCCCAGGAAATACACATCTCAACCTTTTATGGACTCAAGGCACCTTTTAGACTCTAGTTACTCTGTAAGTTTGTGAACTGAGTGGCACCCAATTTCAAAGACCAATTTATATAATACAGTGCTTACCTTTTTGCAGAGCGGCTGGGGGATCAGTCAGGTAGGAACAAACCTGAGCCTGTGCTAAATTATTTCTGTCAAACCTCTTCAAAAGATCTAGTGGCACCCCAGAGTGCCACAGTACTCTGGTTGAGAATAAGTGGCCTACCATCATGAGCCCTGGGTTGCCCTGGAACTGGGAGCTGTGCCATGCTGCCTTGCCCTCTGGGACAGGGGCAGGAGTGGGAAGTAGGGAAGGAAGGGGAAACTTAGAAACCTTAGTTGCTAGTGCAGTCATGGAGAAGGCCAAGTGGGAGCCTAGGGGGTAAGGGAGGTGGGGATGTAGAGGCAAAACTGTAACCCCTTGTGGACTGCAGATTGCCTGTGGGCTGCCAGTTGGACAGCCATATCTTAGTGATAAGAAGCATAGTCAATTTTGCAAAGGTATTAAGTG